CGACTGAAAACTCACTTTTATGTTTTGGCTTTTGGACGGTGACCTCTTCTATGCCGTGGGCAGGACCCTGTCTGAATGGGGTCGCGCGTGGGTAACGGTACAGAAGCTGCAGAGGGGTGTTCAACTACGACTGCTTCATCTCAAAGGTGAGAAACCATGTTTTAATGGTTATTATGTTCGAACCTCTTTTGGGTTTTAGCATGAACCCGTCTCGGATCGTCTCCACCGTTTCATACGGGACACTAAAAATGACTCAGAGATACATCAGAGTCTTTGAACACAAAGAACCCACGAGTCTTTATTCTAACAGCATTTCTCCACAGCGCTCATCTAGATCTGGCCTCTGTGCTCACTGCCACTTCTGTTTGGTGGTCCGTGAACATGCTCCATGTGTCCTGATGGACCAGACCTGCGTTAAGTCCCGCCTCCTAGTTTGATTGGCAGCAGCTGCTGCAACTTTCTCCACACAGTTTATGAAACACCGAACAGGAGAAAGTCAATAACAGACTTTTAATCTGCAGGACGCATGAAAAGTAATGAAAAATGTGCGACTGTCCCGCACAAAGTGGGACATTAGTCCCAACTAGCAGAAGCTACCCGTTAGCATTAGCAACTGCACCACAAGTTAGAACTCCTCCAGGCTTGTATTATTTGTGGAGATTAAACATCAATGAGCAGACAGAGTCAGTGATAGTCATGTTGCTGTTAGCCAATCAGAGTACAGACATCCAAATATCAGGAAGTCCTGTCATCTGATCTGGCAATCTCCTAGATCCTGAAACATGCGCACCAGAGTGTTTTGTACCCAGACGTTACGACCCCGCCGATGGGGGGGGAAGCATCCATCTTGTGAGTAAACAAAAGCTGCTGTGCCGGAGCAACCAGCTGATTGGTGCTTAGGATTTCCTCGCCCCTCTACTCCACCATTGCTCTGAGTGACTGCACCTGTGGGTGCTGCATGATCAGAGGGAGCTCTGGCTTGTGTGGCATTTCTGGTGAGGTCGATTTTTTAATGAAATTACTCCTCAACTTGCTCTAAACCACAACAGCCGATGATGTTGTGTTAAACCTGCCTAAAGAGTTTATCCAACACGTTTCCACATAAAACAGTCACAGGTTCGTCCGGAGCTCATGTCTGGTTTCTGAGTCAAAGTAGAGAGGCGTGGCAACGCGGGACCACAAAGAAAACCCATCTGTGTCAATCCAAAACACACTTATAGAATTTCTCCATATTTGCTCCAGTCGCCGAGTCCCGGTGAGACGATATTGGTCAGAAGTCCTCTCAGCGATCTGGACGGTTCAGTGCCACCACTGACGAATCTGGTCATCATGGCTGACTGCAGACAGAAGACACAAACATGGCGTTCACACGTGCATGCTTTATTCCACTCCAGCCCAAAAGCAAAGGGAAGAAGGACGAGAACACGACTCCACTCAGACACGCGGAGTGGACAACACGCAAACGTGGGAAAGCAAAAACACGCAGAATTCATAAAAGAAAGCAGAAGCTGTCGGATCGTTTTAAACTAAGAGGTCAGCGCCACGCCTCAGGAGGAAGACAAGTTCAGTCATGATTCCTGTTAAAACAGTAAAAACCTCGGAACAACGCCCAATAAGACGGGATGTCCAGGCGTCCTGGTCCCGTGTGGAACCAGAACCAGTCCAGGTCGTCCTGGATGATGAAAGTTACCCGACATGAGACATTAATCGGTCAAAAGCTGAAAGTCTGACGAAACGAACGATTCTCCTCAGCTGTGCATGTTGGTTTTTTCTAGATGGGACAGAAAAGTTCTTCTTTCCTCGAGGAATCCAAAGCTCTTCCCACTTCCTTCCTCTCCATTTAGGCTCCTTCATGGACATCTCGGGAATGAGTCGGCAGTGACTCACACACCACATCTGGACAGGCTCCGCCCACAACAAGATAAAAACAAACCCCCAGAAGCAGCGCCTCAAAGGGTCTGACATCACGTGATGTGATGAGCAGGTTCTCCACCGAGCCAGGTAGTTCTCACGCATCCTGGCCTCTGATTGGATCTGCTGGAAACGTTCGTCTCAGGTCCCTTTAGTCTGGTTCTGATTGCTCCCTCAGCCCGTGGATCCAGTTCTTCAGCAGAGTCTCGTCAGGAACATGAACATCTGGATCTGGAATAAAATGCCCCGCCCCCCGCCACCCCCCCCCCCCCCCCCCCCCCCCCGGCTTGCATTGTGGTTTGTTTTAAACCGATGACTTGGAAACGTCAGACCCGTCAGACACGGGCCGTGGTTCGGCTCTAAAGAACAAATAAGCACGTTTTAAGAACCATTAAAGGGGTGCATCTGATGTAGGGGGACACATAAAAACAGCAAAGAAGAGAAGTTTTCACACCAACAGTAAAAGTCAGCCAACAGGAGAAGGGTGATGTAATCCCGCTCCAAGTTACTGGAATAAGAGAAGTCCGTCGGATCACGTGGAGTAGATTTGTTGACCTGGGCAGGGGCGGCGTTAGGCCCGGCTACCTGGGCTGAAGCCCCAGATCTTTCATGATAAGCCCCGGATCTAAATCCCGGAAGTAACATGCAGTACCAAAGTCCAACAGAGAGGGAGCAGCTGGCAGTAGTTTGTATACAGCCTGCCTGAGCCTCCACCACTGAAGAAGAAGCCCTTCAGCAGCCGGCTTCTTCTACACTCTCTGCCTGAAACACATGAGTGAAGATGGACATAAGGACGTTTTTTAGACAAAAAGTACGGCGACAGAACCCCAGCTTTGATGATACTGGTGTTGACTCAGGTTTGTGAGACTTATTTGAAAATATTTGTTGTGCTGCTGGTTTGCCTAAAGTTAGCTTATCAGGTAAAGTTGTTGGAGAAAGAAAGGGAATATTTGCTATCATCTCACAATAAACACTAACAGGAACAATACTCTGCCCTGAATATGCTTAATATGTAGCTTCAGATTAAAAATTATGTGGTACAAGACATATATATATATATATGATGTTGACTAGTGCGTGTCACGTATGTGTGCGCGCGTGCGTGTGTGCGCGCGCGTGTGTTAAGCCCCGGATCTTCTTCAGTCCTAAATCCGCCCCTGGACATGGGTCACATCAGCATGACGGCATCAGAGTAACAGGAAACAGCTGGATGAAGGACTGAAGCAGCCGAGACACGAACTACAAACATGAAAAGATTCGATAACCAGATTAAAACAGGAATAACGATTCATTCCCTCTCGGCCAGTTTTAGTGCTTTACGCGATTATTCCACCTGCTGCCGGCGCGTTTCTCCAGTTTGATAAAACTCAATTTTAAAGAAAACAAATAAAAAATCATACAAGTTTCTTTTTAGCCGTTTCTCTTCTTGAACCGTCTCCTTGTCTTCATGCCCTAAGATAGTTGACTTAGTTTTCCGTGTCCTTGTTTCTGCACCAGGACTGTTAACGAAGGCTGCGTTAACTCCGGGAGGCGGAGACGTGCCGTCCATCTTTAAACACGGGATAGTTTAAAAACGAAAGGTGTGTCCAAATCCAGATGTTCTGTTCGTGTGAGGACTCATCCTAGCCGTCCGTGTACGTCGGCCCTTCCTCGACCACTAAGACCGCTTTAGCTCCGCCCCACCTCAGCATAATTAGTCTTGTTGCCTAGCAACCACAACGTTTCTAAACAGGTCAAAACTACGTAAGACGGAAAAACAATGTTTTCTATCGCGCCTCTCAAGATAAAAACCACGAAGCGCTTCACAAGAACAAAAATAAAAAAAAAAGATTAAAAATGATTAAAAATATTAATTTGGGGGAAGTAAAAAATATTTAAAAACAAGGTGAGGAAAGGGAATGAGAAAACGAATAAGAAAAGCGACACCGGATGTTGAGAAAGACCAAATCGGTTGAATCAGCAGGTCCTCCCAAAGCCTGAACAGGTGAGTTTAAAGGAGACCACTGAGTCCACCGATCTCAGGCTCTGGGGGAGAGAGGTCCAGAGTCTGGGGGCCACAGCAGCAGATGATCTGTCACCTTTGACCTTTAGCCTGGTGCTGCACAACCAGTAGGCTTTGGTCACTGGACCTCAGGGACCTGCTGGGGGTGTAGGGACTGGTTATACAGGACCCACCAAACTAGCTTGTTTACCAGGATTTTTCTTATTTTTATTGAAAAATACAAATGACAAAGCCTAAAAACACGACCGCTCATTGTTAATATATTAATGTTTAAAACCGTAACCCTCTCCTGCTTCGTCCGCCTGAATGCAGAGCCCAATTGGACGACTGTGGTTAGCTTGGTCTGGGCTGGGCGGGGTCGTTACATTCACATCGGCGTAGTCCGTGACCGTGTGGAGCCGACCTCTTTTTTTAACCCTGCTTGCCTGGTCTTGTGCTGAGCCGACCATACAAACCCACTTTGACCTGATTGGCCAACTGAAGTTAGGTCATTCTCAGACCTACCCACTAGAGGAGCCTCTGATTGGCGAGCATAGAAGCAGCCAGCAGCAGCTTCCCATGTGCAGCGGCATGAGCGTCTTCTCTGACTGCGGCGCCGAGCGGGGACTGACCATGAGCGCTCTTGGATGGGAGGAGCCCACGGCAGCAACGCTACTCAGAGAGAGTAGGAAGCTGTGTGCTTCACCCCTGCTCCTAAAGCAGCACGGCTCACGCCCGCTCTGTGGTGGTTAGCAAGGACACCACGTGCTCAGCCACATCTACGTTCCTGAGTCGGCCCGGGTCGAGCTAACCAGAGAGTAAATGCAACTTTTAGTCTCCTGAGGGGCTCGTGACAAATCCGGGGATAACCGTTGCCAGTGAGGAAAGACCAAACCCGTCTTTGGAATTCCGACAGCCTCGTTGCTTCGCTGTGATGTCATCGGTCTAAAATGCATACGCGGAAGGATGCAGCCCCTGGATTTGAACACTCAGAGAAACTAGATGCTAATAAGCCTGGTTAGTGAGCGCACCAGCTAGCTAACCCTGCTAACGCCACTGCTTTTCTGGCTGCAGCAGGTGTGATGTCGTTCCCACTAAGGAGTCACCATACCATACCATACCAAGTTTATTTGCATAGCACATTTAAACACGGCATGAGAGCCGACCAAAGTGCTGAACAAAAACACACAGTAAAAACAATCAGAAATAAAAACTAAAACCATTAAAATCGAGTAATCCAACTCGAAAAGAAAAGGAGAAAGAAAATAAGTTAGACTGAATTAAAAGCCAATGAATAAAAGTGAGTTTTTAAATGAGACTTAAAAAGGGAAAGAGAGGAAGAGAGTCTGATCAGGAGGGGCAAGTGGTTCCAGAGCTTCGGTGCACAAACCGAAAAGACGCGCTCCCCGCGGGATTTACAGCGGGAGCTAGGGACATGTAGGAGGTGCTGGTCGGCTGATTGGAGGGATCTTGTAGGGACATACGGGTGAATGAGCTCAGACAAGTAGCCAGGTGCTAAGTTATTGAGGGATTTAAACACAAAATCACATCTAATGAGAAGCCTGACCGCAGTGTCGGCTAGCTGCTAATGCTAACTACATGGTGGCTAATGGTGCAAGCAGCTAGGTTTTCTCAGTTCAGTCCTTCATACGCTGCTTCCTTAGCGGTTGATGCTACTTCTGATGGTTGGAATTAGCCCAGATGTTGCCTGATGTGCATTAGCATACGTTCACACCACAGAACCACCACAGCCAGATGTTCTGAAGGCAGGCGGTGCTAACCACGCAGAACGTATGCTAACAGCTAAGAGGAACAACCTGAAGCTCGCTGATGTGCCTGAACGTGACCGAACAAACTGGGTTTTATTAGTGTGAGCGCTGATTGGTCAGTTAGCTCAGCAGTTCCAGGTAGGTGACGGGAACTTTGCCTTTCTCGTTCCCCCGTTGCCCAATCAGCCAGTCCGGGTCCATCCCTGGTACCGTGTAGACGGAGATCAGCTGGAGAGAGAGAACAAAAACAAGCATGACCTTCCTGATTTCTCTCAGCTCAGCTGAACATTCAAGAGCTTCCGCTCCAGTAAACGGTTCCAGAGTGCATCGGTGAAACCCGCTAGAATCAGTCAGGCGGTTCTGTTCCCGGTGGCCCGGATCGGCCCCCGACCTCCTGAACCAGGTCTGGGTCTGCAGCTTGACCTGGGCTCAGAAAAGGACCGTTTTCTCTTTTCCATAACAAAGAAACATAAACTGAGAGTTGAACGACGCTGCAGCAGGTTTCCACCTGGCTGCAGCGAAGCTGGACGGAGGAGAACCAGACCTGATGATCAGAGTCGCACCGGACGGGTGTGCGAGGCGGAGGAAGGGTTAAAAACAACAAACAGGACTCGGTCTGCTGGTGGAGCCGTTGGTGCTAGTGTTTGTCATCCTGAGTGGGGGGATAGAACCGAGCTCATCATCACATCAAAACAGCTGACTGGGACATTTGGGACATCTGGATGGTCCAACAGGACATTTACTAAAGATCCTTTCAGTAGAGAAGAAAACGTTTATCCTCGGATTTCCAGACTGGATCTGATGGTGACTGTTTCTAGTCGGGGCTGGACCAGAACCTCGTAATGAGAATGGAAACGGACGTAGACTAAACTCCCAGCAGTAGAAAAACGCAAGTCATGCTGATAAAGATGTGATGTGCTGAATCACGGCGACGCTGGACTCCACATCCTCAGAAACGCAGCAGGAGGATTCAGGAGGGGTGACCCACGACTCGTGTACAGATCCTGCTGGGTGTCTGAACTCGACCGGATGGTGACAGCGTCCGTGACTCAGAGCTCACGTAAATCCTCACGCTTGTAAAGTGATGGAGAAGCTATTCCACCGAAGGTTATTCAACCTCTCTCCACAGATGTTCAGCGCTTTGGGCTTCCTGACAGGGTTGCGGAAGGCACTTTATAAATAAAGCTTTGATTGATTGAGATGCCTCGAGGTCATGCATTTGCTTCTAAAACTTTTCCTTTCCAGCTCAACAGAAGAATGAAGACAAAGGACTCTTTCCTTTTAATAAATCAAAGAACTCTATTTTTAATAAAGCTAATCAAACAAAGTGTTAGTCAATAATATAATGTTGACCAATCCGTGAAATGACGATGTAATGACTAATATGCTTTACTAAGTAATATGACTTTAATCTAGCTGCACTAGACATCCTGGCTACATGTAATGTAAACGCATGACACACTGTTTACTCGTCCAATCAGAACCTTCCTTTCTGAAGCGTGGCATAGTCTCTGTGGTGTTTATAAATCTGTCAACTTTGATTCGTCCAGAAATCAAAATATCCAGATAAATAAAACCAGTCCCCACGCCATCTTAAAGTCAGTTCACCGCATTCTAACCCCCAAATTCCACTATCTCCGCTCCGCTCCGACACGAACGCCGGAGCAAAATCGGTCCCGTTGTAGTCAATCAGAGCAATTCCACTACTGCGGCCGTGCTCTGGCAGTGCGGCGCCGTGCGCCGCCCTCTGTTCCGGCGTTCGGCAAAAATAGAATAGATCCTATTTTCGCCGGACGCCGGAGCACCTCCGCAGTAAATGGACAGAAATCACAACCACCCAACAGGAAAAGGAGCAAGCACAATTTCCGTTTTTCACAATAAATCGATAAACAAAAGGCGTTTTTTGTTTCATATGTACAGGTTTAACAACTTTTAACAACTATCAATGGCGGCTGAAGTTTAAATGCACAAAAATAAGCCATAAATACAGTTTCCACTATCAAAGTAGTCACACTTTGTTGATCCAAACACTGCTGATCTCTCAACACAAATGATGGGCAGATTAAACAGTTCATGCCGATGTTTCTCCCACACAACGGGTGTTTGGATCTAACTTCCGCGTTTATTGCTCGGACTGTATCGCAAGATCTCGAAAATCCCGCGCATGCTTGTTTGCGCACCTCAGGTCTCCGCACCGGAGCGGAGCCGTTGTAGAGCGGGTACCAGTAAAAATTGAGTTCGGAAGCGAGCGGCTGCGGAAGGCGGGGGCGGACCGGAGCGGAGGTAGTGGAGTTTGGGGGTTAGGGTTCTACAACCCCCCAAGGTGCTTTACAACACAGTCAGTCATCCACCCATTCACACACTGGTGGGGATGAGCTACGATGTAGCCACAGCTGCCCTGGGGGCGCCGGTCCGATACTTCTCTTAGGCGCTATACAAGCACAGGTCATTTATTTTCATGTTCAACCTGCATGAAAAACTTAGACCTTATATCAAAATGAAACACTGGTCCCCGGTGAAACTGGTCTTAACGGAAATATCCATTTAGCTAAATGCTATTTCTCCATGTGGACCTAAAGGTGTCAGGAGGAGGCCTGGACTCTGCAGAAACCAGAAGAAGAGGGTTAGGCCCATCAGAGCATGACTCAGACCAACCTCGTCAGCCAGCAGGGAGAGCTCACTGGCATCATGGGCATCGTAGTCGTACAGGACCTTGGCCTTCCTGGATCCTGTGACTGGCAGCTGAGAGGAACAAGCAGCTTCAGAGGTCAAGGGTTCAGATGGGAATGCAGAAGAAGCTGGGTCAGAACCACCAGCAGCAGAGGGTGGGGGGATGCCGTCTGCATTTACACATCTAAAGGAAGTTTGGATAGAAACATAATACAGAAGGTCAAACGGCTACAGAACAGCAGAGAGGGCTTAACGGATCGGTCCAGAGCAGCGAGAGGTCCCGACCTGTGGAGCTCCCTCTGCAGATCCTGCATGTGGTGATGACACTGAGCGTAAAACACAGTCTGAGCTTCTGCAAAGTCCTGCAGGCAGCGTAGGTGGTTGAGCTGAAGAGAGAAAACCGGAGGTGAGCTGGAGGAGCTCCACACGTCCACCGGACGCCCCACAAACCCCAACCCTGCTCTTTCAGACGTTTGTGTGTTAGGCTGGTTTCCCTCTCAGGGCTCGACTTGGTGACGTTTACATCTTTGTGGTGGTATCAAACACATCTGGGTTCTGGTCCAGACGCCCAGAGAAACACACAGCAGTGATTCATGCTGCCCATCCTGATTGGACCGGCGCCACTGACTCACATGTGTGCTGCCGATTCCCTCCAGCAGCAGCCGGGTGACCTCAGCCTGTCGGTCAAACTCCGTCTGAGCCACTCGGAGCTCGTGCTCCGCCTACGGGAGGAACGAGGGGGGAGCGTTAGGAAGGGAGATACACACACAAGTATACACCCGCACACACACACACACAAGTACATGCACACACGAGTACACACACACACACGCATGCGAGTACACACAAACACACACACACATGCACACGAGTGCACACACACAAACACATGCGAGTACACACACACACGAGTACATGCACACACATGAGTACACACACACACGAGTACATGCACACACATGAGTACACACACACACACATGCACACGATTACACACACAAACACGTGCGAGTACACACACGCGCACACACACACACACGAGTACACACACACACACACACACACACACAAGCGAGTACACACACATGCACACGAGTACACATGCGGGTACACACACACACACACAAACCCACACAAGTACACACACGCATACGCACACGCACACGCACACACACACACACGCACACACAAACACACACGCACGCACGCACACACACACACACAAACATACACAGACAAACATACACACACAAACACACACAAGTACACACACACACAAACACACACAAGTACACACACACACACAAACACACACGCACACACACACACACAGGAAGTGAAAGTACTCACTTTATCCACTTCTTCACTCAGCAGCTGAAATTTAAAGGAAAACAACGTTTCTCAGACCTGAGATCAGCTGATGGTCAGAATGTAAATTCTCTGAACTTCTCCAGGTCCTTGAACTCACCGTCGCTATGAATCAGCGCTAAGCGACGGTGAGTTCAAGGACCTGAACTCACCGTCGCTAAGTGCTAATTTTGCTAGCATAAGCAGACCTTTCTACTGTACAGCTAGTTTAAGCTAACAGCTAACCATTACCACAGACCAGTTATCCATATTTTGTTCTCTTTGTACACTTTTAGTGGAATTATTGTTGACCTGACGTGTTTCAGCTCGTTTCTCCAGTCGTCACCACAGTTGATGTCGTCACTTCCTCTTACCCGCGGGCAGCAGAGGACGGTGTCGTCCTCTACTGCCCGTGTCCTCCTTGCTGATGACACGGTCCCATGCGTGATCCATCGTCTCCGTTCATAGTTCCGTGTCCACGCCTCCGTATTTCTATCGCTTTCTGCATCCCTCTTTGTATTTCTGTTGTTCTCCGTGTGTGATCCGTGTTCCGTCCCAGTCCATCATGTGGTTTCCCGGTGCAGCGGTCTGTTACGGCTGATTCCTTTGTTGTACTTTCTGCTTCTTGTTTGGCTGCTCTTGTGCGTCTTCGATAAAAGGAAGTGACGCCACAGACAGCGGCGTCTCTGATGACGGCTAAGATACGAGCTGAAACGTGTCAGGTCAGAAACTTATTTTACTAAAACTGTAAGAAAAGAACAAACTATGAATAACGAAGATAAACAGAATGAACGCACAAAAGAAAAGCCGTTGGCTGACCATTCCTGTAGGACAAACTCCATTTCTCTGAACAGAGGCTGTTCAGCTTTAAAGGCCTCGTTAGAATTAAAATTTTTAGATGTATTCTGCTTCAGTTTCAGGTTTGATGTTTGAACAGAAACATTTTTTGTTGAAACCAGAAGAAAAGGAGGGGGGGGGGGGCTGTTACGTTCCCCACTATTGTGTAAATGTGCTGTTTTTCTTTTTTTATTATTGTGTTTGTTTAAAATGGCGCATTTAAGTTCTAACCAGTTAAGGACACACCGGTACAAGACATCGCTGGAGGGTGGCGTCCCCGTTGCTGTGGAGACGTGCCGGGATTCCCTCTCTGCGGACGTTCTCTCCGATGACGTCATTGGGAAGTCCCCGCTCCGACGTGCTGCAGCCACACCTGCAGCTCATCTTGGACCGAGTGTGTTTGTTCCCGTGAGGGGATAAAAGGAAAGCTGGATACACGCCCGAGGAGCTGCTCCTAACCCATGAGTAGTCTCCATTTCTGCTCCGTTCTGGACACCCTGACTTTGTAGAATACAGTTGTGATTATGTGCGCGTGTTTAGAGGAAAGCATCTGCATGGTATTCTACTTAAGCCTGAGTCAGTGGTTCCTAGTATCTAGTGCCAATCGCTGCATACTGGTATCTTTGCCTTGACAGAAAACTAATAATTCTCTATTCTTTAAAAGGCTTGTTTTGTTTGGCTTCAGAGAGCCTTTTTGCTTATAGAAGCTCTTAGAAACCCGTACCAGCTTAAGTAAATATTTCATTTGAAAAGCTACCAGAGATCTGTTGATCTTAGGTGTGTTCTTGCTGTGTCTTGGTTCTAATTCCATGCTGTCGTTCTTTTTTAAAACACAGAAATGGTTCCGTTACCTGTTTTTCGCTACGTTTCGTCTGCGGCTGCAGACTTCCTCAGGCTGACGCTGATGGTGGCGTCACTTCCTTCTTCATTTATCTGCGGGCAGCAGAGGACGTTGTCGCCCTCTGCTGCCCGCTCTCCCCTCTCCGACGATGCAGTCCCATGCGCGGTCCAACGTGTAAACTCCATCGTCCCTGTTCATGGTCCCACATCCACGTCTCCTTATCTCGATTGCTTCTTTAATCCGTCTTTTGTATTTTTGTTGTTCGGTGTTTATGACCCTTGTGTTGTCCCAGTCCATTACATGGTTTTCTCTTGTGCAGTGATCTGTTACGGCTGACTTCTTTATTGTACTTTCTGCTTCTTCTTTTGCTGCTCTTGTGTGTCTTTGACATGTTTCTTTCTCACACTCCTTTCTATGTTCTATTGTTCGTGTGTTGAGTTGGCGTCCAGTTTCTCCTACGTATGTTTTATTGCAGAGTTTGCATGGGATTTCGTAAACGACTCCACATTTAAGTCCAGCTGGTATCTTGTTTTTTGGGTGCGCTAGTCTGTTTCTAACTGTTGTGTATGGTGTTGTTGGTGTGTTTATGTTGTGTTTTTTCATTGTTGCTCTTATTTTTTCTGTTATGCCTCTGATGTATGGTAGGGTTATCACTGGTTTTGGTTCTTGTCTTTCTGGGTTTCTGCTTCTTTGCTTTCGTTGTTCTTTTCTTTCTGTTGTTTGTTGTTTTCCTTTGTTTATTGCCCATGTCGGGTATCCGCAGGTCTTTAAAGCGTGTTGTATGTGTTTGTCCTCTTGTTTACGGTCTCTTTCTTCTGTTATTATGTTTGCTCGGTGATATAATGTTCTGATTACTGACATTTTGTGTATGGTGGGGTGTTCTGATGGAGACAACATCCTCTGCTGCCCGCGGATAAACGGAGAAGGAAGTGACGTGCCACCATCAGAGTCAGCCTGAGGAAGTCTGCAACCGCAGACGAAACGTAGCGAAAAAACAGGTAACGGAACCGTTTCTGTGTTTTAAAAAAGAACGACAGCATGGAAAGAGATCTGTTGATTTTTGTCTGTTTTCCAGCTTTTAATTAAAAGCTGTGATTTTTCTTTAGTACCTTTTTATTGACTCAGGAGTTTTCTTTGTTGGGCTGTGTCTAGTGGTATTTGTTAGAACCTCCAGCCCTAAGAACAAGTGTAATCTGTGTAACAAAAAAAATGTGTTTTAATTAAATAAGGAAAATATTTTTATACCCAGGTTTCTTTCTCATCTGTTCTTATCTTTTCTCTGTCCTCTTAGCTTCTTAAAGTTAGGGGGAAAGCATAATAAGTTAAAACCTAACAGGGCCCATCGAGAGATAAGCTGAGCCGTTGGGAGGGTTGGACTTCCATGCCAGGATTGTTCGGAGCAGATCCAACCTCCGTTATCCGATCCAGCCTTTCTGACGTTTATGAATCGGATGTAGAGGCTGTTTGGATGCAGGAAGCGGTCTGACCGCTGTAACGGTCTCAGAGCGCTGCTGCAGGCACACCGCTGGTTCAGAGGCTGAACTTTGCTCCACATCCAGCAGATGTTCATTCAGAGCAGTGATTCCTGTGGAGAGCAGCGCCCCCCAGTGGCTGACAGCCTGTAGGCTCCTGCAGCTTCCCTCGTAAACACAGCTAACCAGAACCTCAGGGTCAAACCTGTAGCCCGTTACAGCGGTTCTGGACCAACGCTTCTGGGGTCGTTCTTCTGTTTGGACTCTGGAGGAATTTTTAGTTCAGTAAAAACTTCGGAGAAGCTCAGAAGTTTCATCTTAAAGGGAAAATTAACCAGGAGATTATGCTGTAGTGTTAGAGGTGTTACACTTAACTAGTTACTAGTTACTACTGCACAGACCAGTTAGAGGATCAACACCAAACAGACCCACAGATGTTCACATGAACAACACAAAATGTTCTAGTCCTGCTGGAGGTCCCACCTTTGAGTGTGCAGGCAAACTGGGATCAGGATCCAGATCCCTGTCCTCCCAGCTGCTCTGCAGTTGGACGAGTCAGGTTCCAGACCGGTGCCAATAAAACACAAACAGAACGTCTCCGTGAGCGCGCTGACAGCAGATCCGTCTGGAGCGTTGCTGGGATTTGGGATATTTGTGGAGCGACAGATAAACCGCACAGATCCGATTCCAGTCCCGATTCTGTTTTACAACTACCAGAACCTCCTCTGCTCCCCATCGCACACGTGTTGCCATGGTAACCAGAGTGAATGACAGCTGAGAGGCTGCACTCGGACATCTCCAGATGAAAGTAACTCCCTCCAGAAGGACTCCTTAAGTGTAAATGAGAACCCGTTACTCTACGATTGATCAGATTTACGTTTTCATTTGTTCCTGACAGGAACCTCTCCTCTGTCCCGACCGCGTTTACAAACTCTGACACTTGTTTGGTTTTGCACTTCGACAGAAAGTGTCTCGATCTCACGAGATTCCTTATTTCTGGGTAGAACGCAGGAATCCCTCACGAGCTGAGGAGGTAGCGTGACCAAATATGGGTAATTCAGGGCGTTCCTGTATGTAAGTGACTGAGAACGGACACGAGCACCAGGGCAGCACAGGCGGGATTTATCCAGGGGCGGAGCCAGTATTTTTTGGAAGGTGGCACAAGGGGTACAAACAATGAACCTGAGGGGAACGGGGGCACCGTCACCCACAACTGGCAAGAATAGGTCTGAGAATCACATCGACACAACACCACCACCATGTTGGCAGCCTTCGAGTCCTGACTTGTTGCTTGTGACTTCAGACAACAGCGCGCTCAGTCTGGGTCTTGCAGCTTCATTTAATCTACTGTCATCTGATTGGGAACATTTGGGGGGTCCCTAAGTTTATTTTTGTCTCCGGCACGTTTAACCGTCCAAAATCAATATTTCACTGTATAAAAGACACCGGTTGAGCATTAGGACCAGGCGGAAAACAGCCTGTTTCCCATGGCATATCATTACATATGTTTTTGTTGATTATGTTTTACATGTAATGTTTTTGTTGATTATATGTTTTACATGAAATGTTTTTGTTGTGTATATGTTTTACATGTAATGTTTTTGTTGATTATATGTTTTACATGTAATGTTTTTGTTGTGTATATGTTTTACATGTAATGTTTTTGTTGTTTATATGTTTTACATGTAATGTTTTTGTTGTGTATATGTTTTACATGTAATGTTTTTGTTGTGTATATGTTTTACATGTAATGTTTTTGTTGTGTATATGTTTTACATGTAATGTTTTTGTTGTGTATATGTTTTACATGCAATGTTTTTGTTGTGTATATGTTTTACATGCAATGTTTTTGTTGTGTATATGTTTTACATGCAATGTTTTTGTTGACAATATGTTTTACCAGCAATGTTTTTGTTGATTATATGTTTTACCAGCAATGTTTTTGTTGATTATATGTTTTACATGCAATGTTTTTGTTGATTATATGTTTTACATGCAATGTTTTTGTTGATTATATGTTTTACATGCAATGTTCTTGTTGATTATATGTTTTACATGCAATGTTTTTGTTGATTATATGTTTTACGTGCAATATTTTTGTTGATTATATGTTTTACATGCAATGTTTTTGTTGTTTATATGTTTTACATGCAATGTTTTTGTTGTTTATATGTTTTACATGCAATTTTTTTGTTGTTTATATGTTTTACATGTATTGTTTTTGTTGTTTATATGTTTTACATGTATTGTTTTTGTTGATTATGTGTTTTATATGTAATGTTTTTGTTGTGTATATGTTTTACATGTAATGTTTTTGTTGTGTATATGTTTTACATGCAATTTTTTTTGTTGATTTTATGTTTTATATTTTGTGTTTTGATTGTTAATAAGATACAGATGTTTTATTGCCTCAGTCCCGCCCCTGGACTTATCAGACGAGTACGGAGGAACGAGCGAACAAGAGGCCACGGCATGTTTCATAAATCAGGATTTTGATCGTCCGTACGAACGTTCTAGATTTCGTTCATAGGAAGGAATTTAGGAATATTTCTACGACCGTTTGATGACTGAGACCCCTGATGTCTCAACAGTCTGCGTCCTCCACCTGCAGCCCCGTTCTGCTGTTAGCGTCGTTTCAGATCTTCTGGAACTTGATGGACGAACCAGACCAGGTGGAGCCGGACCTGCTTGTTGCCGATTGGTGCAGAGGTACTGGTGTTTCCTTAGATAACGAACTTTGCTCATCTGTTTGAAGTTTAATAAAGTTGTCTGTTTTTGAACTCTTACCGCTGAGGCGCTGGCTGACAGGACGTAGTTCCGGGGCCTCGTCTCTTGGAAATCTGGAGCCGCCTAAAAACAGGAAAAACAAAACAGTTTTATGGGCAGTTTAACAAAATAAAGGCATAAAAATACTATTTTTTACTGAACCTTAGCAAAGATAAGCAAACAAACAAACCTATTGTATACAAAACTGAAGGAAAAACATGGGGCAGGGGTGCACTATTGAATGTTACATCCGTATTAATAAATTGTAGGTGGTGCAAACAGTGATTTTTATTTAGCGATCCACTAATTATTTTATGTAAGATTGTGTTTAAAATGAGGAATACTTGCATTTGTGGAGATTTTGCTGGAATAATTAATACTTTTATAATAAAGCATTCTTCTTGATTTCTGTGCATGCCAAAAAACCCCAATATTTTCCTTTTTAAAGAGAAGTCCTTGTAGAGCTGTCCAATAATAAACCCGCTAGTCTTTCCAAAACGAACAGATCCAAAAGAGATGCTGAACGGTCTCTGGGTGGCCCCAGTTCTCATCTTCCAAAGAATATCAGGCAAGGGAATTCCAAGAAGAATCCCACAGGAACAGGTAAATCAGCAGCGCGCCCTCTGGTGGAGGTTCTAGAGATGTACAACCCAGATTTACGATTAAGACTTCTTAAAGATTCCATTCTGAACTCTGGTTTAAGGAACGACATTCCAGAAGCCGGCGGCTCTAGGTTGGTACCAGATTCCCGGCCTGAACATCCTCCCAGTCTACCCCCGCTCTGAGTAAATGTAGCAACTTCCCATGTGGATTCATCCCAATTCCCAAACTTTGGGTCGGGGAAATGAAACACGTGGTTCTGGCGCTGGCCTACTCGACCGGGCCACTGTAGTGGATGAGATCTGATCTGATCTGGTTAAATATGTTTATCAGCCCGTTCTCATCAGATCAGCCTGTTTGTGGAACTAGAACAGTTCCCGTCCAGGACCTCTAATCAGCTGATCGTCTCTGTAACGGTTAATGGGATTATGGTAATCTGGACCACACATTTCACTCAGATTAACATGACATCATTCTGGGTTTGGGCGTGCAGCACCCCCAGCGGGCTGACAGGTGGAACTGAAGCAGCTCCGCTGGACCTTCTGGGTCTGGTTCTGAGAAACAAACATCAGAGATCTCACCGACGCTTTGGCTTCAGCCTGCTTGGCTTTCTTCAGCCGGGCCTTACAGATGTCCAGGTCCAAACGCCGGTTCTCCAGGAGGCGACGTTCTTTCTGCAAGCAAACAAAACCGTTACCAGGGAAACGGACCGGGGAGGCTCAGGTCCAGACCAGAACCCCTGGTCCAGTTCTCCAGAACATCTGGAGGACTGATTTTCTATCAGGCTCTGTTTTGGCACGAGAGCATTTTCAGGGAGATGTTTTTAACCTTGACCTTTGACCCGTGTCACCCTGGACACGGGTCTTTTCGACTCGCTCCCATCTGGCAGGAGGCTCAGACCCAGTCAGACCAGAACCTCTCACCACAAGAACAGTTCCTTCCCTTCTGTGGCTGGACTCATGAAGGCCCGCCCACTCCAGGCGTTCTGTTCCAGTCACATGACCCTGTTGTGTTTGGGCTCTGACCAGGGCCTTGTTATGTAATCATGATTATATTCTTACTTCCTGTATTTGATTTTCTCTTATTTTTATCTTCTTTTGTACTGATTTCTCACACATGTGGAAAAAGCCTGATTCTGATTCTCTGAACTATTCAGGCAACAAACAGCTTCTGTAACTCAAGTGATGAGGAAGCGCTGCCCTGAGCGGTTTAACTCATATTTGTCCAACAGATCAGTGTTGCTGACTTTTGTTTCAAGGAGGCTCCTCTTACATCTGGTGTCCCCCAGGGCTCAGTGCTTGGTCCTCTACTGTTCTCTTTATATTTGCCCTGGGTGCTATTTTTAGGAAATATGGTCCGGCCTTTCATGGTTACACGGACGACTGTCAAACCTATGCTCCGGTTAAAGGGGTGGCGGGTATTTTACAGTGTTTTGAGGAGGTAAACGTGTGGATGGCCTAATTTTCTGAGCATAAATGAGAGCAAGACCGAAATAATCTAAACCTGGTGGGCCAACGGCTGTTTCTCCTTCTCTCTTGGATGCGCTGTCGCCTTTTCCCAAAGGTGTCATCTCAAACTTGAGGATCAAGCTAGACTCGGAGCTGAAATGAGCAGATAAGCTGTGGGAAAATCCTGCTTTTTCCAGTGAAGGAAACTGGTCAAGGTTAGGTCTGTCCTGGTAAAGAGGGACATGACTCATTATTACCTGAAGAATGGACAGTTGCAATGGTCTTTAGTTGGTGTGAGTCAAGAACGTGTCTTAATTCTGCAGTTGGAGCAGAATGCAGCAGCACGTTTGCTAACAGGCGCCTGTGGGAGTGATCACATCACCTGGTGCTAGCCTCTCTTCACTGGATTCGTTTTTAGTTTTAAGATTCCTGTGTGGACGCATAAATCTTTATTTGGGCTGGCACCATCATAACTCGACATTCATCTGTGTATCTCCTTTGATCCGTATTAGTGATGTTTTCAGCACCAGAACAGTGAAGCAAAGAAACAGATGCCTGAGTTTGTTAGTAATTTTATTTATTAGGTGCATCTAACCTGTTCTATTTTTCCCTGAAATGAGATCAAATCAGTGCTTCTACGGGTTGTTATTTAGAGATGTGCCATAATTTCTCCCCAGGCAGACCGTGAAAGCGTCCGTGTCCGGAAAAAGGAACTTTTGGTCACCTTAGTGAATGGAATAATAATAGCGGAATAATCCTGGAATAACCAGAGAACATGAAGTGACAACTTTTTTTTACTGTGGTGGTGGCGGTCTGTCATAAAGGGATCTCCGACCGGTGATCAAAATCTAAAGATAATCGGTGTCTATGTTTGACATTTATGACCACATTTGACATACATATTTAAGTTTGTAGAATAAGCGTGTGATAAATGACTTACTGCTGGAAACCACTGGCTTTTTGATTCCCGCCTCCTGTGAGCCTGCGGGCTGCTGTGAAGCTGTGAGCGGGGCAGAGCCGGCAGCCCCGCCCGTTGGAAACGGCGTGTGTGGACCGACCGTACCAACTTGAGGAATTGGGCGGGGTGGACTATAATTTCTCAGCAATTAAAACACGTTGTTTTGTATTTGCAGACTAACTTTTACATTGTGGTTTTAGAAGACAATACAGGATTACTGATAGCATTTATGTGTTTACAATAACTTTTGTGGGGAGGGGACAACTTTGTGTGAAGGGGGGGACGCGTCCCCCCCCGTCCCCCTGGGATCTCCGCCTATGCCTCCGGTCCACTACGCCCAGGCCGGCTGACCAGCTGCAACTGGTTGTTCCTAGGGTGAGGCGGAGAGGCGATGGGTGTGGCTGCTCCTATGGAGACAGCCGCCCGGCGGTGTCAGGAAAGCCTCCTCGCTTGTGGTTTTAACTCTTCTCAAAACGCACTTCTCCTCGCCAGCGTCGAACGCCATCTGACTGTCGTACGTCCGCTCTGGGTTAGAGTTTCATCTGCTCTCGTTTATTTTGTGTTTTCATCCAGAGTGATTTTATCTGTGCTCGTTTATTTGACCTGCGCAGCACTCTGGTTCTGTAGAACATAAAATCGGACTGAATGAGCCGGAAGCCCTTCCAAACAGAACAGAACCAGTTTAAACTGGATCTTTAGACTCTTTGGTACCAGCAGCCCCACAGAGACACAGTCTGGTCCAGAACCAGGACTTCAGCTCCAACAAAGACATTCAAGCAAGCTCCCTGAACCTGGTCCTGGTCCAGGGTTGGGTTCTGGACCGTGTGTCTGTCTCGTACCGAGATGGTCCTCCAGTCTCCCTCCAGGAAGTTCCGAAGCGGATTAAGGAACGCCGCTGCTGAAGTCTGGAGTAATTCCCGTTCGGCTCCTCCCAGTTTCCTCTGGAACTCTCCCACTGTGATCAGAGTTCTACCTGGAGCAGAGCAGAGCAGACCCGGTTCGCTGAACCCAAACACAGAGTCAGAGCTAAGGGTCGTCATCAGAACCGAGCCCGGTACCAGCTCACCGTACGGAGTCTCCGGTCCAAACTCCTGGGCAGCATCCAGCATGTGCTGACCCAGCAGCTCCGCGTTGGTGGTTCTGGACGGAATCTTCTTGTCCAGCTTGTCGTAGATGAACTCCTCTATCCGAGCACCTGGAGGGCAGGTGAGACAAACACCAGCATGAAGCCAGAACCAGAACCGGCCCGATCCAACAGCTCCCTGAAGTCTGAGGTTCTGGTTCGGATCTGTCGGGCCTCAATCAGCAGAAAGTTCTTCACCTTTACGGTCAAAGACGTAACTTTTACAACAACGTTAGTTTTTTCATTAGAAAAAAAGACAAAAAAAACAAGAGAAGTAACTGGGTCAGGTACCAGGCCCGTTTTAAAGCTGGTCCAGAACCGTGTGGACTCTAAACCAGGTACAGTACCAGAGTCTAACTGGATGGGACCAGGACCAGTTTAACCTTTTAGCTCTATGGAGATACTAAAGTAATCAGATTACTGTAAGGAGGCGTTCCTCCGAGCCTTCAGCGAGACGAGTGCCGGTCCAACGGCTCGTAAATAATTCAGAACCTGCTAGTATCAGGACTCACACGCAAAGCATTCTGGGAAAGGTAGACACTTACCTGTGTGATCGACTGAAGCATGAGAGAACAGAAAGGTCAAAGGTTAAAACATCACAGTTACAATCCACTCAGGTTCATCAGACATTCCCGCTGTCTCACCAGGAATTCCAACCAACTGAAACAAACGGAACGGGTCGATTTCTTCCTGGATCAGAACACTGAGAAAATATAAAACATCTAAATCCCAACTTTTGTTCTGACATAAAAAATAAAATCTTTTCCAGGCAAGGAGCAGTTTCAGGAAAACCACTTCCTCTCCAGGATGGGAATTCAGGCCCAGAGATCGGACTCTTAAGGATCAACAAGTTGATCTCCGACTACAGGATCTAGTTCCTGGAACTTTTGAGAAGTCTCTTGATGACTGAACCGATTTTGTTCTCTTCTCGGGTTTGTGGATTCCCAGATGGAACATTCCCATTGGTGACTCCGCTGAACTGTTCAGTAATTGGCTGAAAAGTACAGGAACAATCCTGGAAGCTGTTCTAAAAAAGGAACTTGAAAAATCTACTTGTGAACGGTGACTATTTGATTTGTCTCTATGGTTGGAAGCCGTAAAGGTGTGCTCCCCGACAGGTGAGAAGAAAAGAAGAAGAAGAAGAAGAAGAAGAAGAAGAAGAAGAAGAAGAAGAAGAAGAAGAAGAAGAAGAAGAAGAAGAAGAAGAAGAAGAAGAAGATATCATTTCTATAGCGCCTCTCAGGATAAAAATCACGAGTCGCTTCACAAAAACAAAACGTAAAAATATAAAAAAGAATTTAGAAAATGTTTAAAAATATATTTAAAATGAGCAAAAAATAGACAATTGTGATTCAAAACATGTTAAGAAAGAGAGAGAGTGAACAGGAAAGAGGGAAATCAGTGGATCCTGAGGAAGGTGGAATAGGTGGGGAGAGCAGAATAAAGAGAGAGAGGTGAAGAAGGTCATACAAAAGCCAGCTTGAACAAGTGAGTCTTCAGCTGCTTTTTAAAGGAGACCACTGAGTCCACTGATCTCAGACTCAGGGGGAGAGAGTTCCAGAGTCTGGGGGTCACAGCAGCAGATGATCTGTCACCTTTGACCTTTAGCCTGGTGCTGCACAACCAGTAGGCTTTGATCACCGGACCTCAGGGACCTGCTGGGGGTGTAGGGACTAAGAAGATCACCAATTTAAGATGGTGCTTGTCCATGTAAGGCCCTATAGACCAGAACCAGGATCTTGAAATGAAGGTCTGGTAACCATCACAACCGGGACTTACAGACAGGAAGTTCTTTACCCAAATGTGATTCCTAGAAAATATTTCTGTAAATAAAAAAGTTGTCCTTTGTTTTGAAGAGAGTAAAAACACATTAATGATCCCGACTTGGAGGAAGTGCCTGGGGGCCCCCGGGCCCAGCCTGGCTTTGCACGCCTCTGGACATTGGGGGCGGTGGTCTCCATTTTCAAAGAAAGGAACCAGAAGATGTGTTTTGGGAGGACCAGCCTCCTCAGCGTTCATGGACATGTCTCCTTCAAGGTTCTGGAGAGGATGGTCTGGTTGATTCTGGTCAGCTATGTGGTTCTGATCTCGGTTGTGGTTCCGTGGACCAGCTGAGTGGGAAGCAGCTGGGACGAAGAGCAGAACCTTCAAATCTGTGGCTGTGGTTCTCGCCCGGAGAAGGGTGGGTTGTAAACTCCAGGTCGGGCTGAGGTTCTTCCTCAGTAGGAGGGTTTAAATATCGGGAGGTTAGCAGGTGGATCAGGGGAGTCTGCTGGGATGTGGACAGTAAAACATCTGCTGTGGAGCAGAGGAGCTCAGGCAGAACTAACCCAAGTCCTAAATTTACCGGTCATCTCCATCCCAATCCTCACCTGTGGTCAGAAACAACAAGACTATGAAAACAAGCGGCTGACATTGTCTCTTCCTCGGCTTTAGAGACGTGGTGAAGAGGAAATCTGCTCTCCTTCAGTTGGTGCTTCAGGCATGTCGTTCCAGCTGGAGGCCCGGGTCTCTGCCCTCTTGACCCGGACCCAGATAGACCCGGACCCAGATAGTCGGACAACAAACTATTCTGTGGTTTAACCACAAGCTGAAATGATCATTTTGATTCAAGGAAAATGAAAATGAACTGAAGATGCATGAAGTTGTGGAGGTGCCTTCATCCATCTGGACTATCTGTGAAGGACTCACTCGGGTTGGGCTGCAGGAGGACTTCCGTTTGTCTCAGGATCTTTTCTGTCCAATTCTTGGTGCTGTCCCCCCTCGCTATCAGATGGTCCAGGTGTGGATCCAGTTCGGTCTTCTCAGCCTGACCCAGCTTCTCCTCTGTGAACTAACAGACAGCAAACACAATAGATTAAACATTATAACTAATAAATGGGGAGAAACGGAAATACAATTGTTGTTTGGGCTGAAAACAAAAAGGTTCTGATCAGTGTTGAGTTTAGTCCTCACAAACAGGGGCGGCGTTAGGCCCGGCTACTTGGGCTGAAGCCCCGGATCTTTCATGATAAGCCCCGGATCTAAATCGCGGAAGTAACACGCAGTACCAAAGTCACACAGAGAGGGCGCAGCTGGCAGTAGTTTGTAAAGTCCCATTTAGTCGTCACACACGTGTTCTCCGATTTTGACCCATCCCCTGAGTTGCAGACACGCCGCGCTCGGGAACTATTTGGTGGTTTAACCCCCCAATCCAACCCCAATCCAATGCTGAGTGTCAAGCAGGGAGGCATTGGGTCCCATTTTTCTCAAAATCTTTGGTATGACCCGACCAGGAGTCGAACCCCTGATCTCCCGATCTCAGGGCAGACACTCTACCACTAGGCTACTTAGTCAGTATACAGTTTACCTGAGACTGAAGAGAAGCCCTTCAGCAGCTGGCTTCTGCAGTCTCTGTCTGAAACGCATGAGTGAAGATGGACATAAGGACGTTTTTTTAGACCAAAAGTACAACGACAGAACCCCAGCTCTGATGAGACTGGTGTTGACTCAGGTTTGTGAGTCTTATTTGAAAATATTTGTTGTGCTGCTGGTTTGCCTAAAGTTAGCTTACTATCAGGTAAAGTTGTTGGAGAAAGAAAGGGAATATTCACTATCATCTCACACTAAACACTAACAGGAACAATACTCTGCCCTGAATATGCTGAATATGTAGCTTCAGATTAAACATTATGTGGTACAAGACAAATATATATGATGTTGACTAGTGCGTGTCACGTGTGTGCGCGCATGCGTGTGTGTGCGCGTGCGCGCGCGTGTGTGTGCGCGCGCGTGTGTGTTAAGCCCCGGATCTTCTTCAGTCCTAAATCCGCCCCTGCTCACAAATAAAAAGAGCCTGAGACAACTTCCAAACAGCTGTTGGGACGCGGGCTTTACACAGCGATCTGAGACGGAATCAGGACAGAATTGAAAAAAAAGGCTTCTTATTAAATCTAAATTATGCCGGTTTGTACAATAAGCATTGCAGAATGATATCCTGAAAACGCGCCGTGTTCGCAACAATGACGCGTCTGTTAAACTACTGTTTGGCTTAAATGCGTGCTTTTTTCATGGAGTCTGGCGGGTAGGAGTGGCAGGTGGCAGCCTTCAGCTGCTGGCGTCACATGGAGATGGAGTCGATCAGTCATAAATAATAGATCGAGCACGGACGAACCTTTATCGGCTTACAGCTGCTCATCAGATCAGAACGCAGCGACAAAAACATCCAAATAAACACAAAAACGATCAGCTGCTGACACACAAACAGCGCCGCAGCTGCTGGTCGCGCGGACGGGATAGAGGTCCTGGATCTCTTTCAACCGCAGACTGCTCGATCTGCCGCAGCCGAACAGAGGAGCTGTTACCTGCACGGCTCGGGTGAAGAACACCCCGGCATCTGAAGCCAGTTTCTTCACGTTGAAGTCCATGGTACCGCCGAGGTTCGGGCTTGTTTTGTTTCCTCCGGATCCGCTGAGCGAATGATGCCGCGGCAGGTGACTAAAAACTGGAGCCGTAATCCAGGATCGGTGATCTACTATCCTTCCTGCGTTTAAAGGGACCTCAGCGGCGGGAAAAAAAAAAAAAAAGTTGAGAGGGAACCGACTGTTCTATTTCGTCTAGTCTTAGCCCTTAAGCTGCTATTGGAAGGATGATCTCCGCATCAGCCAATCATGAAGAGCTTAAATGTACGCCCACCAATAGTGGGCCCCCTCATGGTATATAACCGCAGTGACCCCACTGCTCGCCTCCTTTTTCTCTTCATGCCAAGCTGAGAGCTTCTTAAAGAGCAAATTTATCCAGAAAGAGCAAGATTATCCGAGAAGACTTACTAGCCATGTCCAGCGACGCCAGACCCTGCCCGACCTGCCAGTCGGGCTCCATTTCCAGCGGAGACCTGCACGCTAAGTGTGAGGTCTGTCTCGGGGCTCACCACGCTGGCCTGGCCTTGACCCCGCAGGCCTCGTGCCCGTTCTGTGCCGCTCTGCCCGTGGCAGAGAAGATTCGCCGGGTCGAGTACTTCACTCCCGCCGCCGACGAAGAATTTCCGGTGGCTGACTCGTACCCGCTGGACAAGGCGTTGGATTTCTTCGACGCCGGTCAGGAGCCGGCTGGCTTCAACCGGCTGGATGACGTCACCGACAGCGAGAACTACGACGAGGCGGCATCCCTCCTAGACATAACGGAGGTCGATGAGCTCCGCCCAGCGGGTCCTTCTGCCCCAGTGGCATCTCGCTCCTCCCTGCCAGCAGTAAGAGCACTGCTCCAGGAGCTGCCCGCCATCATTTCTGCGGCAGCAGCCCACAAGGGGCTAGCTGTGCCAGAACCAGCCCCGCCTGAAGCGGATGATTTGGCGGGAATCTTCGGGGCAACTCAGACACGCTGTCTAGACCCTATTTGGCCGCGCTTTCCCGCTGCTATGAGCTGCTGGTCTGCCGCCTTCTCCGAGCCTGCCAAGCTCAAGGCGCCAGTCTCCACCTATGCGCCCATCACCAAGGTCGAGGGGTTTTCCGACCAAGTTCCTCCGCTAGAGCCGGACTTGGCCTCGCTGTTTGGCGCCAAGAACCACCTCGCTGGCCCGCGAGCCGTTCCCGCTTCAAAACATGACCAGCTGCTGACGCGGCTCACCGACCGCGCACATCAGTGTGCCTTTCAGACTGGCGCTGCAGGGAATAACATCGCCCTCCTTGCCTTCGGCGTCTCGAGGATGATGGAGGAGCTGGAAGCCCCCGAGGAGTCGAAAGCCGTCATTACTAAGACTGCTGATGCTATCCTCAATTTGTGTGCTGCTGTGCTCACCGGTTCTGCTCGCATCGCTGCCTGGCAGACCCTCATCCAGCGAGCGATCTGGCTCAAGGCCCTGCCCTCCATTCCGGAACATCTGCAAAGGGAGATGCTGGACGGCCCCATCACCACCGATGTTCTGTTTGGTCCCCATCTTAGGGGCGTCATTGAGAGGGCTCAGAAGACGGCCGAACTATCGGCTACGGTACGAGACCTGGTTCACCCTCGGTCAGCCTCGCACTCTGGCCATTCTGCCAGAGGATGGGACGAACGGCGCGGAAGCTTCAAACGCCCAGCTGCACCGTCCGCTCCACGGAGCCGGCCTCCTGCTTCGGCTCCACATCAGCGGGACCAGCGAGGTGGCGGGCAACGGTTCCGGCGGGGCCAGCAGACGCCGTCTTGGCAGTCCCAGGTGCACGAGCCTCGCCGAAAGCAGCCACGGAAGTGACTCTTTGGGGGGAATGTGTGTGTACATGATTGTAATGATGTTGATGTTGGTTTTGAAATAAAACCCAAAACATGTCACTCAAAGAGCACAATCCTACAGTCCTCCGCAGAATCCTCTGCCGAGTTCTCACACATGTTCCCCACACCAAGCACTGCTGCACGCATACATGTTCCTGCAGGCAGTCATAATATACGGCCAACCGTAAGGGTGCGCTCCATTTGCGCTCCCTGCCCCAGCATCCGGCCGGGCCCAACTCTCCCAGCTCTCACCACATCGTCGGGTGGGGCGAGATGTCAGGTCGCTGTCTCGACCACGCGCGGCGGCACAGTGCGCGGCTTCATCCGCTGGCACTCTGTCGCCCCCGTGCACAGGCTCGGCTCCCACTCGTCCTTCACTCTCGGACTCCACGCTCCGTGGTGCGGACCAGCCTGTTCCAGCTGTTTCGCACTCGCCCTTTCGAGCGCAGCCCTCCATGGGTCGCCCCCAGTTATCTGGTACGGGCGACGGCGGTAAGGGCGCATGCACAACCCTCAGTCGTTGCTCACATGACCGCGCACACGCGTCCACTGTCGGAACGCGCGCACCAGTGGCGCCGCCTTTGTATCATGAGCAAATGGATTTCGGACACCATTCATTGCGGTCACACACTTCATTTTCAGGTCACTCCACCTCCCTTCAACGGGATCGTGGAAACGACGTTCACATCGCAAGTACAGTCTCAGGCCCTAGAGCTGGAGTTGCGGGAACTTCTGTCCAAGGACGCTATTTCACGAGTCCCTCGCGGACAAGAGCTCTCGGGCTTCTACTCCCGCTACTTCATAGTACCGAAGAAGTCGGGAGGAATGAGACCGATTCTCGACCTGTCCCTGTTCAACTGCTCCATAGCAGTAATGCATTTCCGCATGTTAACGATGAGACAAGTCCTGGAATATGTGCGCCCCGGGGATTGGTTCACGTCAATCGACCTGAAAGACGCATACTTCCACATACCAGTAATTCCAAATCACCGGAAGTTTCTGTGTTTTTCGTTCAAGGGAGTTCAATATCAGTTCAATCGCCTCCCTTTCGGCTACTCGCTAGCCCCGCGCACCTTCTCCAAATGTCTGGAGACCGCGCTGCAGCCACTGCGCACGGAGGGAATGAGGGTTTTATTTTACTTGGACGATCTTCTCCTGTGCGCTCGGTCCAAGGACGAGGCGTCACAGCAAACCAGGAGGTTGACAGAGCATCTGTCGACCCTGGGGTTTTCTATAAACTGGGAAAAGAGCTCCGTTCTTCCATCCCAGTCGATTGTGTATCTCGGGGTGGAGTTGGACGCCTCCCTAATGAGAGCACGTTTGTCGCCTGCAAGAGCGGCAGATCTCTCCACGGTGATCTCCCGTGTACAACCCCGCAAGATCGTGAGAGCCCTGTTAGTCATGAAACTCCTGGGCATGATGTCCGCAGCCCATTCGGTGGTGCCGCTAGGCTTGCTGCACACGAGGCGCTTGCAACGTTGGTTCACCCGCCTCCGGGTGCACCCGATACGTCAGAAGAGACGTATGTTGAGGATTCCCCCTTCAGTGGGCGGGGACCTCGCTCACTGGGGGAACCCCTGCATCCTCTCACGCGGGGTTCCCATCGGACGTCCTGCGTCACACGTATCTGTGTTTACGGATGCGTCACTGTCGGGGTGGGGGGGCACGTGCTTGTCCCATACGGTGGCAGATCGTTGGCCCTCCCACACGCACGAGCACATAAATGTGTTGGAGCTTATGACAGTGAGGAATGTGATCAGACACTTTGCTGCCCATCTCGAGGGCCGTCATTTCGAAGTTCACACAGACAACCAGGTGGCGGCAGCCTACATAAATCGCCAAGGGGGAGTTCGATCCCTCCCTCTGTTGCGTGTCGCCACAGATTTACTGTGTTGGACACATGTCCACCTGCTGTCCATCAGAGCCATCTACATTCCGGGGGTCCTGAATGTAGCGGCAGACATCCTGTCGAGAGGGGGACCCCGCGACTCCGACTGGCGTCTGCATCCCGCACTGATATCACAGATCTGGATCAGGTTCGGGGAACCGTCTGTGGACCTGTTTGCGGCTCGCGAAAACGCTCAGTGTCGCCTGTGGTTTTCCCTGAGTCCCCGGGACGGACCTCCGCTCGGGGCGGATGCCTTCTCACACCAGCCCTGGCCTCGAGCGCTCCTTTATGCGTTTCCACCAGTCCCTCTGATTCCCCGTCTCTTAGACCGAATTCGGTCGGAACGGCTCTCGGTGATTCTGGTGGCTCCCAGGCGCTTGTCCGCGTCATGGTTTCCGGACCTGCAAGCGCTAGTGTCCGGCTCCCCGTGGAGGCTCCCGTGGAGGGCGGACGCCCTTCTCCAGGCGGATGGAATAATCAAACATCCTCCGGAAATAGGCCAACGGTTGTGGGTCTGGCCGCTGAGCGGTCACGCTTAGAGGCTTCTGGGCTGCCGCATGATGTGGTCGCCACGATTCAGAGTGCGCGGGCGCCCTCTACCATTGCGTCTTACGCTGCTAAATGGGCAGCTTTCCAGAAATGGTGCACGGAGCGGAATGTTCAAGCGCTCTCCTGCCAGCTGGCGGATGTCCTATCGTTTCTGCAGATACTGATGGACAGGGGCCTCGCCTTCAGCACTATTAAAACATATGCTGCAGCTATCTCATCCTGTCACCAAGGGTTTGGAGATAGATCTGTTTTCAATCATCCCCTCACAAAACGTTTTCTAAAAGGTGTCAGGAGGAACAGACCTGTGTCCCGCCCGCTTTTTCCCCAGTGGGATCTAACGGTGGTTCTGCACGGCTTATCCAAAGCCCCATTTGAACCCTTGGACCAGGTCTCACTCAAGTTCCTGTCACTTAAAACTGCATTGCTGCTAGCGCTAGCATCAGTTAAGAGAGTGAGTGACCTGACCGCCCTTTCAGTGGCTCCCGCATGCCTCAGGATCCGGGAAGATGGCGGGTCTGCTGTTTTATGCCCCAATCCAGCCTTTGTGCCCAAAAGCATTAATGCTTCCTTCTGTTATGGGTTACTCCTCCTGATTGTTGTAATGCGTGTTTTTCTTTCTCTGTGTAGGTTGGCTGTGGCTCTTCCTGCTGTTCCTGCCCCTCTTTGGAGCATCGGGGAATGCCGCAGCTGACTGCAATTTCCTGATTGCCACACCATGTATTTAAGCAGCTGCTTCCTGTGCATGGTGTGGCGTTGTTGTGAAGAGTTTCTGGTGTTTAGAGCATAGCTTTGTTTCGAGTCTGTGGTAGTTTTGTTTTGTATTACCCGTGAAGTCCTTTTCCCACTTATGTGGTGACTTTTTGTAATTAAAAGTAATCAG